CTAGCCTTGAAATCCCCATTCTGGGGAAAAGACAACTACCAGTAACTCTATCCATACCCCTCATTATTTTATAAACTTCTATAAGGTCACCTCTCAACCTCCTACACTCCAGTGAAAAATTCCCAGTCTATCCAGCCTTTCTCTAATAACTCAAACCTTCCATACTTAGCAAAATCCTGTTGAATCTCTTCTGAACTTTATCCAGATTAATAATACCCTTCCTCTAACTAGGTGACCAGTCCTGGACACAGTATTCCAGAAGAGGCCTCAACAATGTCCTGTACAGCCTCAACATGCCTTCCCAACTCATACACTCAAAGGACTGAGCAATGAAGGCAAGCGTTCCAAATGCTTTTTTTTTAACCAGCCTGTTTATATGTGATGCAAACTTCAAAAAATTATGCACCTGAACCCTTAGGTTCCTCTGTTTTACAACACTATTATTAATTGTATAAGCCCTACCCTTGTTTGTTGTACCAAAATTGAATACTTTGCATTTATCCAGATTGAACTCCATCTGCTGTTTTTCGGCCTATTGACCCATTTGATCAAGACCCCTCTGTAATCTTAGAAAACCTTCTTCACTGTCTACAATACCACCAATTTTGGTGTTGTCCGCAAACTTACTAACCATACCTTCAATATTCTCATCCAAATCATTTATATAAATGACAACCAAAACAGAACCGATCCCTGTGGAATACCAACTGGTCACAGGCCAGGGGATGGTGAGAATCTGCCTTTTACCTTTCTTTTAGATGCACGTTGAAAGAAAGCACAGGCCAGGTTTCTATACATGACAAAAATAACTATTTAGTATAAATAAATAAATTGTAGCTTCAGATAAGTAATTATGATAAGTCAATATACAACTCTACAAATCAAAACTCTGGCCCCCTAATAAAACTTCCTCTGCACATACAAACAAACACAGACAGATACAAAAATAACATGGGAGGTATGGGCAGAGGGGAAGACTGAGAATGCATTTCAGTGGGCCCTGTCTACAGGATTTACCTTATTAAATTCTGCTTCTTCTCGATCTTCCTTTTCCGGATATGCAAACTTACCTGCAAAAAGTACAGGATGACTGGTTTGCGTCTATTACATCTCTGACTTATGGGTTAAAAGTCACAGCTTACAGTAAATGATGAAAGGAAATAAACTGGTTTTCTTCAGGCTTGAGGTGTTCTGTTTACTTCAGAGTAAAGGACAGTTCCTTCTCAGACATCTTCAGCCCAAGCACAGGCACAACAAGGTATTCAGCTACCTGAGAGCCAATCAGATAGTTCATGAGGCAGAAAAGCTTTGCCATCAACAATTGGTCACCATTTCAGAGATGAATCCATTACTTGGTGAATTGAATCTCCCTTCATACACACCCCTGATTCCAGCTCATCTGCAGTAACCTTCTCCACTCTTGAACAAACAGATTCCTAATATTGATCCAAATATCCTTTCTTAAGGAGAACAAAACTATATTTCATCTGTAGTCTTTCCAATGTGCTGTGAAACTATTGCAAATCTTACATATCTTCACTTTCCATTCCCTTGCAATATATTACAACATACAGTTTACCTTCTTAATCGCTTGGCATAACTGCATATTAACATTTTGCAATTAATGTTCCTAGGCAGCAACAATCGTGGCCTTTAGAATCCAGAAATAGAAGAATATGTAAAATTAACTGTTGAAAATAAGCAGGAATATCATTTGGATACAAGTGTCAAAAATAAACTTTATTACAAATTAAGAGGAATTGGGGAGTGGGCAGTGGTTTGATATTGGATGTTTAGGAACTTGAATCTTCTCCAAAATTTTCCAAAGACAGTTGAATATTTTTAAAAAAAAATCTAACTTTAAGCACAGAATGCATTGTTTGGATTGCTTCTAGTCAGAGAACCTCACAACGCGAAACAAAAGAAACGTGGCATTGGCCGAGGAAATCGGATTGTCTGGCTTCCTTCATAAATCAGAATAACATCTTTACGTTTCCTACCGCCTACCAGAGATGTCGAGCAGTGGTTCCCACCCCGTCAGATTAGACCACCAAAGATTGAACAAAAAGCTACCACTACCACCCTCCCAGACTTTGTACTTTTATAATCTTGTTGTTATTCATTATCAATAACAAAGCTATCCAACTATAAAAGGAAAATTGTTCTATTGTATTATAACCCAGGAGTTAAAGAACAGTGCAAAAGGGCCATTGTTTATGTGGCTTGCTTACGTTCAAACACTTAGTTTTTGAAGTCAAAATCCCTGGGCATAAATAAACTAACTGTTTAGCACTTATTAACCTTTTTTTTGTAAGCTATTTGTTTTTGCACTTCTTCACTGCAACATGAATCATCCGGCAAAACAGCAGGTAGGCAAACCAATCTCAAGCTTCTATCAACTTTAGCTCTGTAACTAATCGTTTGGAGCTTTTATTTTTCTTTCGCCCTCCTTTTCTTTCCATCTGCTTTCATTTCAGCGCTTTCACTTGAGATTGTGGTTTAACTCAGGAATGCATGACGTAGAGAATCCTAAACGCAAACTGATATCTTATCATTTACTGACTACAGTTTAAAAGAGTACTTCGTTGACTGCACAACATTTGACACATCCAGTTGACGTGAAAAAGCGCTTAATTTCTGTTTTGATTTATTTCGCTGAAGATAAATTCAGCGCACTGTTCATAAGCCTCTTTCTTCTAATGTTCTCTTATTCTACGTTCTGAAATCACCATTGAAGCCTGGTTCTACTTATGCTGGCGGCCCTAGGAGTTGTGCAGGCAAGGTATATTACAATGGAACGTAATAGCGCAGAACCTAATCCAATTCTAACTTGACACCCACATAATTCAAAAATGGAGACTCTGCCTTTTTTATCCTTATACCAAGCTTGGTGATCGGGTGCGGTTTCTTTCTGCAAAGCGCCATTAACCTTTGGAACATGGTGTTCTGTGATTAGTATATCTCTATATCAAGCTGGAACTTGTTTTGATCGTTTTCAAGGTCGGAGAGCAACGTTCCAGAGTTTTCTTTTCACCTGAGTTAACCTTTTCTTCGCTCTTCCAGGAGATGGTGAAGTTGCTGGTAGATGGGCAGCATTGACTTTAAAAAAAAAGTTAATCAATTGCAACCTGACTGGTGGATCAACAGCTGTTTTACTGTCATTTTCGTATGCACCTTTCTGCTGATAAAAACTCATTCAACACAGATTAGGGATTAAATCTTCCACGTATTCATTTGGATATAAATTGCCCTGTATCTTTCGAATGCTGAAAATATAACTGAGTTGACTCAATAATTCAAAGCAGTCTTAAATTTGAAACAGTTTTACAGCCATTTTCTTCTTGATTTAACACATTATAATCGCACTTCAAATATGAAATAATGCAGATCATCCTACTAACTCAGACTGTATAGGATTGGAGTACCTCATTCCTAACCTGGATTGAATTCACAAATTTCATTCACGTTTAGATTTATCAGCTCTTGGTGAAGTTTAACTCGTTCTGGGTTGTCTGCATAAGAAGTGAGGATCGATAGAGTGCAGCTGTGGAAACACGTCAAGGCGGCTGCGTTCCCACGCACACAGCAGAGCTTAGAATTTAAAAACAGACATTTTCTCCCCTCAAAAATTAAACAAATAGGTACGGAAAGAGTTTTGATTTGTAACGGAATTAGACTGGCTCATTAATGGAACATGAAGGGGCGGAAACAATTAGCCCTATTCCGCTTCCTGATATTGAAAATAGGATCCAAACCAGCAGCAAAATAATCAGACTCATGAAGGAAGACCAGAGCAGAAACACAACTACGTGTCTTTCCTTTATTAAATGAAATGACATATCGTGCCCCGAACGTGTGGAGCGGTCGGTCAACACAGCAAAACATGCAGAGGTAGCTGAGCGAGTCGTTCTGCGGTGAAAGCTGAATGAGTTTAGCACTCGCAGCATCGTCCCCTCCATTCTGCAACCAGCACTCACTTCCCCATGAATGGGCTTCCCCCGAGCACCCCCATCTAGGCCCCACCCACTCACGGTCCCATTGGGCGCAGCGGGTGTGTGAGGAAGTGACGCAGCCTAGTGGCCCGGCACCGACTCTGGCGGTGGTGAGAGGCTGCCTGTCTGTCTCTGTACGTCCGTCCATCCATCCGGGGGTTGCACTGACAATGAACACCGGGTCTAGGCGGCGGTGCCGGGGCAGCTCACGCACGGCGTTCCGCGGCGCCGGCAGGAACCGGCCGTAAAGGTGCCGTAGCTCGACATTCAACCGACGACCTCCCTCCCACCTACCCACACCCCCTCCCTCCATCGCCAAACCTGCAAAGACACGGAACAACGGGTTCCTCCTTTTGATTTTTTTTTCTCTCTCTCTCTGTCGCTCGGCTGAAAGGAGCGGCGCCTCGATCTGCTGCACCTTCTCCTCCGGTGCAGTCCCGTGGATTTGCGGGAGGAAAAGGGTGGGCGGGGGCGGCTGCAGTTTCGAAGGGCGAGGCGAGGGCTGGGGAGGTGAAGAGGGTTGCTGCTGTTGCGGCGGCGGTTGGAGTTGGAACGCCGGGGCAAGGCTCGAGGAGCGCCGGGATTCCAGAACGCGCCGGTCCCGCAATCTGGTGGCTGGCGCGCGCGGCGGACCGTTAGTGCCGGGAGGACCCCGCCGCTCGGAGGAGGAGGAGGCGGCGACGGCGGCCGCCGCTGCATCTTTCAATGCCACGCCGTAGTAGTCGTCGTCCTGGTGGGGGGAGCTAGTTAGTGGGGAGGAGGGGAGGGTGAAGGGGGAAAAAAAAAAGACCGGGAGGGGAAAATAAATCGCCCACATGCGCTGGAATAACAGGATCTGGGAAAAGAAGAAGAAGAAGAAAAAGGTGTTGAAGTTTTTTCATTCAGTGCGGGGCTCTGTGGCTGGAGGAAGATGGCGGACTGGAGGTGATCGGCGAAGCTCGGCTTCTGATTTGGTCTCTTCTCCCGGTTCTCCTCCCCCACTGCGGCCAGACTTCTGCGATCGGACACATGCAGGCCAAAAAACGCTACCTTCTGCTGTCAGCCGGCGCCGGTCTGCTGTTGCTCATCTACCTGGCGGGAGTGCGGATCGGGCGGCTGTCCGCAGCGAGGAGACAGAGCCGACGGTGGGCTGCGGCCGATGGCTCCTCGTCGGCTCCCGACCGCTGGCCTGAGTGGTCCAACTCGTTGCAGGGTTTCTCGGTCGGGGACCAGCCCGAGAATGAAGAGTTCGGTCAACGCGGCTCCCCCCGGCACAAGAGGGAGATTAACACCAGCGTGTACAAGGGCAAGAAGTGCCGCATGGACTCTTGCTTCGACTTTTCCCTGTGTCACAAAAACGGTTTCAAAGTCTACGTCTACCCGCAGCAGAAAGGGGAGAAAACGTCCGAGAGTTACCAGAACATCCTGGCAGCCATCGAGAACTCCAAGTTTTATACCTCGGACCCGAGACAGGCTTGTCTCTTCGTGCTAAGTTTGGACACTTTAGATCGCGATCAGCTTTCGCCTCAGTACGTACATAATCTAAAAACTAAAGTTCAGAGTCTGTACTTGTGGAACAATGGCAGGAACCACTTGATTTTTAATCTCTATTCGGGAACTTGGCCCGATTACACGGAAGACCTGGGCTTCGATATCGGCCAGGCGATGTTAGCTAAAGCCAGCATCAGTACTGAAAATTTTAGGAGCAATTTTGACGTTTCCATACCGCTCTTTTCTAAAGAGCACCCAAGGACCGGAGGAGAGAAGGGTTATATGCTTTTCAATAACATCCCTCCCTTGAGAAAGTACTTACTGGTATTTAAAGGGAAAAGATATTTGACTGGCATAGGCTCTGATACCAGGAATGCCTTATATCATGTCCATAATGCAGAGGATATTGTCCTCTTAACGACCTGTAAACATGGAAAAGACTGGCAGAAACATAAAGATGCCCGCTGTGATAAAGACAACAGTGAATATGAAAGGTAAATGTTAATTTTAGAAAAACGATTGCTTCATCCATGGAAAAGGTAGATATGGATTTAACGACTGAGTAATAGGTCCGCATCACATTTCTATTTGTTGGTAGAGGAATCATGTTGGGAATGAGCTGCTTTGACAGTAGGAAAAAACCATCTGAACAAAAGTCATACAATATGTTTTGTGCCCTACAGTAGCAAATTTCCTTTCAAACTTATGGTAGGTTTTGTTGTGACATGGAGTTTTAGCTTTACTGCGATATTGGGAAGGTGTGTGGCCTCACGAACAATGGTGTGACTCTGTTGTCTGGTTCTTTTGCGTGGTGGGATGACAAGTGTACATAAACGATCAGTTTCTGACAGGTCAGTGAACTGCTTGCCTATGCATGGTACAGCATGATGTAAAGTTTAAAACACAGTTTTGCTTGTGTTATCTGTGAACTGGAATTTTTGGGTTTTATTGATAGTTCAGAAGTGGAGTATGGACGCTAACTTTTTAAAAAAAAGTTTCTAATCGAGCTATATTTCATTGTTTTGCTCTTAAACAAAATATCTCTTCGGCCAATTCATACAAAATGATTTTCTTTCCACTTGGCAATGATTCTTACTTTTTGCCAACCTGTTCAGTTTTGAAAGGACCTATGAGAATTTTTTAATGCCTTCAAGATTTTTTGCTCTCACTGAAGGCAATTAAACTGGTAAGTGCTGTTGGGATTCTGGTGCATCTTTTATGGAAGATGGAATATTGTCAGATGAGTTCTCAGGAAAACATTTTGGAAATAGTGTTTTTGCCTAGTTGTTTTAAGATGTTAATTTTCTTCTATCCTTTTAATGAAAAATTGTTTCTTGAAGCTCTTGTTGCTTTTACACTTTCCTGTAGTCATGGAGCTTTTATTGATCACAATTTAGCCAAGGGGTGTCAGGAATGCTTTGCATTACATTCTCCCAGTCACTGATTGCATGTGAATGACTCTAAACCTGAAGAAATGCTGGCAATCTGCAGTTTCTAAACACCTTGCATATCCAATAAGAAATTTCACAAAAGATGTAATGTTTTCTTTTTCTCCTGACCTACATTTTAATAGAAGTTCTAATTGGCTTTATCAGCTTTTGCCTGAACAGCAAATGTTCATATTGGAAAGAATTGACGGGTAATTTCCCTAATGCTTTAAAAGTGAGTGCTGTATGGTTGCTTGAAGTTCTACTGTTATTTTGTATATAGATTTGTTTGCTTTGTTACCATGGAAATGCTAACCCCTCCCACTTGTAAGTTGGAAGCATTGTATTCAAACATTTCGCAATACTTTTTCAGATTTCTATCAAAGATTTAAAGGGTTAAGCGTTTTGCTTGTGCAATCCGTAAATGGCTAATGGAATTGAATGTGTTCTGTTTGATCTTTTATTGCTTTGTTTTAATTTTATATTTGTAAAGTTTATATTGGCTGCTATAGTAGACATGTTGCCATGTGTCATATAACCAGTTTGAAGTTGTAAAAATATAAAAGGTTTTTGCTAAGTATGAGCTATATTTCTGAATTAAAGTCCATATTGGCATGTGAAGAGCAGTCTAGACTGTCTCCTCCTTGCATAATCCTATTAGGGGCACATGGACTCGTGAACAAAGTGGATTCTAGTACTCATAAGAACTACGAGCAGGAGTAGGCCATCTGGCCCCTCGAGCCTGCCCCGCCATTTAATAAGATCATAGCTGATCTTTGAGACTCAGCTCCACTTACCTGTCCGCTCACCATAACCCTTAATTCCTTTACTGTTCAAAAATTTATCTAGCCTTGCCTGAAAAACATTCAGTGAGGTAGCTTCAACCACTTCACTGGGCGGGGAATTCCACAGATTCACAACCCTTCAGGTGAAGAAGTTCCTCCTGACCTCAGTCCTACATCTGCTTCCCTTTATTTTGAGGTGATGCCCTCTAGTCCTCATTTCACCAGCTAGCGGAAACAACCTCCCTGCCTCCACCTTATCTATTCCCTTCATAATCTTATATGTTTCTATAAGATCTCCCCTCATTCTTCTGAATTCCAATGAGTATAATCCCAGTCTACTCGGTCTCTCCTCATAATCCAACCCATCAACTCTGGAATCAACCGAGTGAATCTCCTCTGCACCCCCTCCAGTGCTAGTATATCTCTCTTCAAGTAAGGAGACCAAAACTGCACACAGTACTCCAGGTGTGGCCTCATCAGGACCCTATACAGCTGCAGCATAGCCTCCCTGTTTTTGAACTCCATCTCTCGAGCAATGGCAGACAAAATTCCATTTGCCTTTTTAGTCACCTGCTGCACCTGCAATCCCACCTTCAGCGATTCATGCACAAGGACACCCAAGTCCCTTTGCACAGCAGCGTGCTGCAATTTTTTACCATTTAAAACATAGTCCATTTTGCTGTTATTCCTACCAAAATGGATGACCTCACACTTATCAACATTGTACTCCAACTGCCAGACCTTTGCCCACTCACTTGGACTATCTATATCCCTCTGCAGATTTCAGTGTCTTCTGCACATTTTGCTCTACCACTCACCTTAGTGTCATCTGCAAATTTTGACACACCACACTTAGTCCCCAGCTCCAAATCATCTATGTAAATTGTAAACAATTGCGGCTCCAACACTGATCCCTGAGGCACACCACTAGCCACTGACCGCCAACCAGAAAAGCACCCATTTACCCCTACTCTTTGCTTTCTACTGGTCAACCAATCCTCTATCCATGCCAATACGTTACCTGTAATACCGTGCAATTTTATCTTATGTAGCAGCCTTTTGTGTGGCACCTTGTCAAATGCCTTCTGGAAATCCAGATACACCACATCCACAGGTTCCCCATTATCCACCATGCAAGTAATGTCCTCAAAGAATTCCACCAAATTAGTTAAACATGACCTACCCTTCATGAACCCATGCTGGGTGTTCCCAATGGGACAATTTGTATCCAGATGTCTTGCTATTTCTTCCTTAATGATAGATTCAAGCATTTTCCCCACTACCGAAGTTAAGCTAACTGGCCTATAGTTACCTGTTTTTTGTCTACTTCCTTTTTTAAACAGTGGTGTCACATTGGCTGTTTTCCAATCTGCGGGAACCACCCCAGAGTCCAGTGAATTTTGGTAAATAATTACTAGTGCATTTGCTATTTCCCCCATCACCACCTCTTTTAGTACCCTGGGATGCATTTCATCAGGGCCAGGAGACTTGTCTACCTTTAGCCCCATTAGCTTGCCCAGCATTGCCTCCTTAGTGACAATGATAGTTTCTAGGTCCTCACCTGCTATAACCTTCTTGCCATTAGTTTTTGGCATGTTATTTGTGTCTTCCACTGTGAAGACCAACACAAAGTAACTGTTTAATGTCTCGGCTATTTCCTCACTCCCAGTTATTAAATTGGCCTTCTCATCCTCTAAAGGACCAATGTTTACCTTCGCCACTCTTTTACGATTTACATATTTATAGAAACTTTTGCTGCCTGTTTTTATATTCTGAGCTAGTTTACTCTCATAATCTATCTTACTTTTCTTTATAACTTTTTTTGTGGCTTTCTGTTGGCCTTTAAAGATTTCCCAGTCTACTCTTTGCTTTTTTGTTTGTGTTTTTTTTTCAATCTGATACTTTCCTTTATTTCCTTAGACATCCATGGCTGGCTCTCTCTTTTCCTACAGTTCTTCATTATCACTGGAATATACTTCTGCTGAGCATTGAAAAATTGTTTTGAAAGTCCTCCACTGTTCCTCAATTGACCCACCATAAAGTTTTTGCTCCCATTCTACCTTAGCTAACTCCTCCCTCATTCTTTCATAGTCTCCTTTGTTTAAGCACAAAACACAGGTACTGGATTTAACCTTCTCACACTCCATTTGTATTTTAAATTCGACCATACTGTGATCGCTCCTTCCGAGAGGATCCCTAACTGTGAGATCATTAATTATTCCTGTCTCATTACACAGGACCAGATCTAGGATAGCTTGCTCCCTCGTAGATTCCGTTACATATTGTTCAAGGAAGTTATCGCAGATGCATTCTATGAACCCCTCCTCAAGGCTGCCATGACCGACCTGGTTTGACCAATCGATATGTAGATTAAAATCCCCCATGGTAATTGCTGTACCATTTTTACATGCATTAGCTATTTCTACGTTTATTGCCTGCCCCACCACGATGTTGTTATTTGATGGCCTATAGACCACACCTATCAGTGACTTCTTCTCCCTGCTATTCCTAACTTCCAAATGGATTCAATGTTTTGTTCAGTAGAACCTATATCATCTCTCACTACTGCCCTGATATCATCCTTAAAAATCAGAGCAACACCACCTCCCTTACCTTCCTGTCTGTCCTTCCGAACAGTTTGATACCCCTGGATATTTAACTCCCAGTCTCGACCATCCTGTAACCATGTCTCTGTAATGGCCACTAAATCATACCCATTTGCCATGATTTGCACCGTCAACTCATCCACCTTGTTTCGAATGCTCCGAGCATTCAGATAAAGTGCCCTTATGCCAGTTTTTGCACCTTCTTTTTGGGTCCTATTACCTACATTAATAACAGTTCTTGAGTTTTCCTTCCCTTTAACTTTTTTCCTAATTTTCAATGGAGTTGAAGCTTCTTCGTCACCTGCTAACCTGCTGCTTTGCCTTACATTAATTGTTATTCTCCTTCTATGCTCACTTCTCCCTTCCCCCCTACTTACTAGTTTAAAGTCCTATTAACCACCCTATTTACCCTTTTCGCCAGAACACTGGACCTGGCCCTGTTCAGGTGGAGTCCATCCCAGCGTATAGATCCCTCCTGTCCCAGAACTGATAATATTTCCACGTGAAATTTTATGAAATTAAAATCTGTAAATACATGAATTTCATCTGTAACAAAGCTTTATTACTTTACATCTAAATAGTTTAAATTGATTCATAAATGTTATTGCCAGCATGCCATCCCCTGATATTCCTGAGAAAGGAGATTGTGCACATTGTCTTGGAATTTTTTGTATAC